ACTAAATGTTTTGTTTTTTAAATTTGTGATTTAAGAAGTTTGAGAAGTATATTCTGAGAAATGAGAATAAATATATGTGATTAAAAGATTATAATAAAATTCTCTATAGTAAAGGAATAATTGTTTTACTTTAATAATTTTATTATGAACTAGATATGAAGAAGTAAGGCCTAAGTTGATAATGATTTTGTTGTGTCAGTCTGTAAATAAGTTAATAAGTATCTATAGACTATACTAAACTTAATACAATATACTAAATTTAATATAGTCTTAGAGCAATGATTAAACAAGAAATACTTTTAACCATTAAATAAAAATTTTACAAAGTATAAATAAATATGTATATTTCATTTTGGTAATAAAATAATTACTAGTACTATTATAGTATTTCATGCATTTTGTCAAGATATATAAGGTAATTATGACCAAAATCGATAGTAATCAGAATTCATATAACTTGATTATGATTGAATAAAAGTTGCTAGAACACTAGTACAAATTGGGTAAATCAGTTTATGCTTTTTTTAATGTGCATAATTATGTAACATAAATATGTAACACTATAAAAAAAATTATATTAGTAATAGAAAAAGCTTTTTTTCAACAATGAAGAAATAAAAAAAAAAAGCTTTTTTGCAAAGTATAAGCGATATCCAAGTAGATATAGTAAGCTAAGTGGAAATATAATATTATTAATAACAAAAATTAAAAAAATTTGAAATTCAAATATATAAAAAAAAAACAAATAAATAAACACATAAATAAATAAAAATAAAGTTTATCTGCGAGAAGGGTAAGCAGGTTTTTTAAAGATGATTATCATATTCAATCATTATTATATTCGTGCTTAATTATTTGGTGTAACAAAATTTTTATTAAAATAGAATTTTAATTAAGGAGCATATCATATGTACAAGATGCTAAGAATATCAAGCAAGGTAAATATTAGAGCATGAGTAAGTTTCAATATATCAATACTACCAGAAGAGATAGTACAGCAATATTTATAACATCGTGGAGAAAACTGGAAGAACACGCACTTTTATGGTGTAATTATTGAAGAATTAACTAAAGGGCATCAAAAAGTTAAAGTAAAACTAGAAAAAATCAAAAATACTGTTGTAGAGATTCTTGCAAGTAATTTAAGATATGAAAAACAAGTTCCTTCAAATCAAACAACACCTGCAAATATAGATCATAAAATGGATATAGCTCATAAGGATCTTTCTGATGATAATGAAAGCAGTTCAGAGGAAGAAGATAGTAATGCAGATAGTGTAATTGATCTTGATACTCTATCGAACTAGAAAGAACAACCAATAACTATTGATTAGCAAGAAGTTTATTTATCATATAGCCAGAAATGTATAGTTAATATTTTATCAATTAGTTAAGCATCTCCATATAAATTTCTGCATTAATACCTTCCAATTAATTATATTAGACAAAATGTGATTAATTCTATAAACATATGTGGTAGAGAAATCCCAAATTGGATAAATGTTACTTTTAGAGAGTATATGAGTTGGTTAGGCTTATGGGTATTAATGTCTGCTTTTTCTGTTACTGATCATTGCTTTTATTGAAGAACAATATAAGAACTTACAAAACCTATAATACAATTTAACTTTCAATGTTGGATGAGTCTTGTATGATTTGAACAGATAATATTATATCATACCTTAGTAATGCTATATGAATTAGAAGTTTTAAATCTTAGTAATCTTTTATATTCTGTTCATATATTTATTCTCATTTCTCAGAATATACTTCTCAAACTTCTTAAATCACAAATTTAAAAAACAAAACATTTAGT